CGAGGTATGGTTTTTACCCGGGGTCAAAAACAGGTCCCGTAAGTAGCCTGTCTAAAGTGAATGGTGGTGAGGGACGTTATACGGGTGGGCCATCGGATGCAGGGAAAAGTAGGCGGAGAAGATAGAGAAGAAAATTACATCGAAAGATTTCCAATGCGCTTGGAAAGCAAGCGGTGACTAAGCGCACAATTTCAAAAAACAACCGAAAACGGTAGTCAGGGAAATTCAGGCAACTAAATAAGCCGCCGTCAACCAAATAACTGAAGCTCGGGTGCCAAGAGAAATACCGGCCAATGGTAGTAGGCCACAGGTGGTAAGTGACGTGCGAATAACGGACATAGAAAACCATACCAGGAGACACATTAACGGACAAGAATTTACAAAAAGTGCAAAAATAAGACTCTAAGAAGGTAAGCATAATGATGGCAGGAAAAACTTAAAAGGAAAGTCAAGCTGGTAATGTAAAGAGGCATGGCTCACAAATAGACATGTAAGTATATATATATTAGAAATTAGCAATGGTGTATTACGCGAGTTTCAAAACGAAAATAAAGTCAAAACTACAATGTTGAGGCAGAGAAAGTCAACTTGTCCAAGTAGATATAAATAGCAGTATCTGTAAGTAGGTGGCAGTTTCACTATTAAGAAATAGTAGTAAGCCAGAAACTAATCCTTTTTAGATGTAGACTGCCACCAAAACAAATTGTAAGACGCAGACGTACTTGAGCCGCCTGGAACAAAACTTACATGAAAAAGGGCTTGTATCCGGCCGAGCCGTCGGGGCTCAACATTGACGAGATACAGTATCGTCTATGGTTTAGACTAAACAGCACTGGCCTAAAACAGGCAAGGAAAAGCTTTCTGTCCCACATCGCGGAGGTGTACCCCGTGAAGCCGCTCAGCAATCAATGAACCCTATGGAACCGGCACGTAAAGGCCAATTTTCTTAGCTGTAAACAGTTTCATTTGTATAAAATAATTCCAAAGTGTTTGATCTCTGCTTTACGGTAGATTGCGAACAGGATTTTCGCACGACGTCTAACGCGTCCGAGGCATTTTTACAATGCCTGGTTCTCGGGGCGGTTATTTGCAAGGTCAACAGCACAAGTCGATGAAACGCGTAGAGCAAGCCAAAGCCACTCCCCAAGTGGCGTACCGGAAAAACGTAACCGAACAACGCCTACTTAAATAAATGCAGTAGCGAGTTTTTGTTTTTTGTCTATCCCGGATGCTAATCAAACCCTTACCGAGTAGCCTCTTTATGAGTATTCCTTGGCAGTTAAGAAAGCGTGTGAGTGGTAAGAATATTTGGGAGAAAAAAATAACCGTTCGATGAATGAAAATAGATGTGAACGATACTGAACCGCCCCGCCGTTAAGAATATGTGCGGATTTGAAATGCTTCTCGTCTATTTGTAAGAGTGGGTTGAAGGAGGTCAAATGACCACGAAGTGTGCTAGAGGTGACAATCGTATTTATTTTTTGACCGAAGAAATCGGCGATGAGTTGGCTAAATTGGGAAACCCCCGCGGACGACATCAGTTTGGTTAGGAACGAAAGAAGGAAAGTAGGTAAAAGTCCACTGCTGCAGGGGGGGAGGGAGAAATGCTGACGAATTTGTGAATCGATAAACTTCATGGATGGTCGTCAGTCTTAGTGGATGGTCTTACATGAAAGACTGAAACGTGTTATATCTACCTTTTTTATCGCTGGGAGCACCTGCAACGAAGGAAACCCGCGCCGCTCTAAGTATCACGTAACCGTAATTCCCAAACTGTCGGAGCATGCGCGTATGCCCCCTTACGACAACCAATCACAGGCCCGACAAACCCACCCGACCAATCTAACGCTGACTATCACACGACACACCCTCATGTCCAAATCACGTTACTAGACGACTTGCGCGCCGGCCCAGATCCGGCTGCGTGTCCAGGGCTCTAACCACCACTAAGCGTCAGTGCAGGATTTACAGATTCTACCAGTGTCTCCTCCTTCGCTCCTCAATCAGGAGTAGACAGACTTTACTTTGGCGCACGAAGAGCTGCCACCAACCCATTTCAAAGTCCAGAAGTTACTTGATAAGAAGGATATAACATTTCTACAGTCGGGGGTATGATGCTTACGCGATATTAGTATATTTATCGTCATTTCAGTAATCCTGATCTCACGGACTACTGAAATGACTATACATATACTACTAACAGGATTTCAACAGATCCTTTTTGTGTGTCAAAATTGACCCATAAGAAAATTTTCATAGTTCGAATGAGGTGAACATGGTTTTTCGCAATTATTTCGCCAATGTCATACAACTTTCGCATTTATGTTCCATTATTAGAGTTGTTAATTCTCCTTACTAAAAATGCAGGCAAAATTTTTGCAATTTGACTATTTTCCCCTACACCTGTACCGCCTAAATGGAGTTTTCGGGGCTTCTGTCGTTTACTCCAAATATAGTGACCCATACTGGCTGGCTGATGATGATGAATCTCGCACAAGATTTAGCTTCTCTTTGACAGAGGGGAGTCTCCGTTTCATCCTGGAGGGCATTAAGGACACCCATACAAAGTACGTTTTCTTAAACGAAGATGAAACCACCTGAATTCAACGTTTATCGTCAGACGTTTGAGATTTCAGCTCTAACCCATCATCAAAGACAGACGTAGATAAGGAGTGCAGTACTGAACTCCAAGTACTGTAAATACTGCATGTGCTGAACATCAATGGCCACCACGCAATCAGCCACAGACGCAGTTGGTTAAGGGGGCTAGATTGGGGTGTTGAGACGCATTCCAGTGAATGGGAAGAAAATATTGCCGAAATACAAGACATTCGACCGATTTTTGGAACGAATGGCTGGCCACACAGCTTCAGCTGGTGCATGCGTAAACCAAAAACCGAATCCGACCGACCCCATATTTTCACTGGCGCTTCCGTACACGAAGAGACTTTAGGGTACCACAGCCGCCTACTCCCGCAGTTGGTATTTAAAGTTGTACACAAACCAGAAACGACTGTCAGATTTCAAGTCATGTGATTAAAAGTCCCATTGTCGTGAAACTTCCAAGATCGTTTATCGGATCTGGTGTGGTGGCGGACAAAGCAACCGGGAGGCTACTCCGAACGCTAGTGATCGAACATTAAGCAAAATTGAAGAGGAATGACGCTAGCTCCCAGATCGCAGCTCATTTGATTAGACTCGATTGCACCTTCAGATTTGGCGAGGCCGAAATACTCGCAAGAGCCATGAGCTGCTTTTGTCCCTCATTCTCCGTCCTTCAGTCAATTAGCAAAAGCAATGAACGACCCCATCCAACGTTCTGTACTATGAATTTGCCTGGGTGGAGTAACCAACCATGCGATATGGCACTGTGGGCTACAGTTCCACTGATAGTAAGCCCAACTTCCGAGTAATTAGCAACCCACAAATCTACAACGAATCGAAGAGCAGTGATATTCGGAATCTGCATATGATGCGCAATGCCTCCGTTACTGTTATTAAAGTGCCTCTGATGATCGGCCCCAGTGAGAAATCTATAATCTCGGACCAATAAATTTATTGTTCCGATGAGGGTATCGTCGTCTTCTGGACTACTTCCTGGACCTAGCTTCTTCGCTTCTATAGATACTTCATCTTGACCCAGAACGATCGCCATTTGCTAATATCGCACCATATTAAGTAACAAAACTCTCCCCTGCAATTTCCCCTGGTCCTTCATCTCGAAAAAGAGTCCATGGGTGAAATAGATCAGGTCAAAGATCTGTGCATCCAATGTCCCTGACTCCTACGGTTCTAGCCGCACCTACATATTCAATAATTACACTTTACAATCCACCATAGATAACCTCGTCATGTCTATGTCTGAGAGACTTTCTGCCGTTATTAATTCAAATGGACAATCAACAAAGTACTAATTTTTTGTATCTGTTTCTGTCCTTAATTATTTTTGACCTTTTATGCGCCCTCCTCCTTTATACGCCCTCATACGTAGCCTTTCTTAACTTGGTTGTAATATAGGCGTTTCTCGAAAATGTGACTTTTGTCGAAAAATTTTTATTTTTATCTCAGTAAATAATATTTTCTTAACCAAACTATGCTTTATTTCTTTGACACATCGTTTATTTTCAGCTATCAGACTTTGGGAGCCGTATTGTTTACCGATTCTGCGTTTAAGTCGTTAACCTGTGTTAATTCATGACATTTCATGAGTTAGCACAGGTACGGTATATCTGCATTAGTTTGGATCGCAGATATTTGCTCATGGATACCGAGGCCTAGTTCAGTGCGGTGCCTCCAATTTTAGCTGACCGCTTTTGCCCTATCCCTGATCCCCATCTCCAATCTAAATCGTTCCTTCATTTTCCAGATGGGCCTTCGCCGGTCGTTCTCCTGGGCCTTGTGATTGTCGAAGTCCTCATGCAATCCTCGCCTCGAGCTTTCTAACCAAGGTTGAGGCCTTGCTGACTGCCGACTTGTCCAACTGCTCGATCGCATCACTTACCTATCTGCTCGTGGGTTGATCCCCTCTACAATCTCCTACAACATGAATCTTGCATGCATATATTGCATGTTCTTATGGGGAGCTCCATCGACAACATCCTAACAGCATTAACCATCACTTACATCATGGCATTGTCCAAAATAATGTAGTGTCTCATGTCCGCATCACAGGCCTCTGTGTTCGTTCGGCCTAGACGGCCAATGGCTACTCGCGCAACTTCGTCAACCGGTGCATACACAAAAGGGACAAAAGGCCTAACCGCACGGACACCAAATTTTGGCGAGCGCTTCCGTATGTCGAGAACGTTTCGGAAGCTGTCGGCCGCCTTCTCGCACCACTTGGGGTTGGAGTTGCACACAGACCGGAGGCAACCATCAGGCGTCAGTTGATGAAACCAAAAGACCCACTGCTACGGTAAGAAACGTCCAGAGTCGTTTATCGGATCTGGTGCAGTTGCAGACAAAGCAGCTACTTCGGAGAAACCGGAAGACAGCTCCGAATGCGAATGGCCGAACACGCTGCAGCGGTGCGGAGCAATGACGCTAGCTCTCAGGTTGCGGCTCAATCGACAAGATCCGACCACACATTCAACTTCGAGGAGGCCGAAATTTCCGCAAGAGGTGACAACCGCGTGAACCGGGAGCTGCTTGAGTCATGGTTTACTGGCCCCCAGTCCATTAACAAGTGCAATGGACTTCCCCTTCCATACTCGGTGCCGAGACTTCGCCTAGGCGGAGTAATTAGCCATGCGGGGAGCGTACAGTGAACACGTTCCCCAACACAAGGGTCAGCGCGTAAGATGGTCGAACAATCATCACGCCAACATCCAACGCACGTGATGAAATTGCAGCAATTAACGGCGCGAATATCGGCCATCAAACCACGTGCAACGATCCCTGGTGAATGGGGGAGCCGTGAACATTCATAGGTATGCGGTAGCATGGAGACTGCATCCTAGAAATACCTCAGCCCTTTGTGCATGAACCAGCCGTATCTGCTCTTGTCTCTGATGATGGGTTCCAGCAGGAATCCGGGACGTCAGGCTAATAAAGCTCTTCTCCCAGCGATTGTGTCTCCTTCTTCATGATGTAGTGCGTCGTGTCCGCACCACATGCCTCAGAGTTCGTTCGGACTAGACGACTGATGCCGGCCCGTCTGATGTCCTTGAAGACTGAGTTCGGACACGCGCTGCAACTGGACATTATTCAACCGTCCGAGAGCGCCCGGACATCCTCTTTGCACCTGACGCCTACGTCGATATCAGGCGATTGGCAGCCCTGTGGCGAGTATTATGCCCTCGACAACGCCAACATCTCCAGTCTCTATCCATTGCGTCGTCTTCAGGATATCGTCGGAACCAGTTTCAGCAATGCGATTTACTCAAACGTCGACCTGGTGTTCACCTTTTGCAAAATACATGTCGCCTTGGTGGATATCACCAAAACAATCTTCGCTTCTCTCTTCTGTGACTTCAGATTCATCCTTATACCATTACGTCTAGGCGTTCCAGAGGTCCATCGACGATATCTCCTGTGGCCTGCTGTTGTGAACGCCCACAATGATGACCTTTTCGCGGCTACTCAGAATGCTGAAGTGCATGAGGAGCCTTGTCCTTAGACCGCCACGACAAGTGCAGCTTCATCATCAACACCCTCACAAGGTGTTTTGGTGTGTCTTATCTTGAATTCCTTGAAGAATTGCGTCCTTTGCCTCAGGATTGCGGCAATCTACATTTTTCACTCACCAGCCTCGAAATGTCGATTGCAACGTTTTCTCACCCCGCCCCTGACACTGACTGCTAGTACCCCCCTCCACCCCTACCCCCACCCCCTCCCCCACATTCCCACACCCCGTCTGTGTTAAAAGGCAAACTTTTATTGATTTCTCTTATCGCTGACATGTTTCGCTTTTACCCCGTTCCCGTATAACTTTACTGGCCAAACGATAATTTTCGAAAGCTACGCATGTTCGCAACCTCGTCTTCTGATTACTGCTATGGGAATTTTCGCAACTTTCTTTACTGTGTCAGTTTTACTGCCGATCCCTACCGGTTCCTACTTACGCCATGCATGGTCCCAGGTTCCAAGGATAACCTGAAGCTTACTGATGAGAGAATCACGGCCTCGCTGACTTATGCTACGATGTTGATTCATTCGCGGTAACAATCGGTCGATGGCAGCCAAAAAATCCGCCTAACCAAAGCAGCCTGTCCTACGGGACAGGTGGTAATAGGGGTTTTATGGGTGGTAACTGGTCGGGATGTACGATACTAGTCGACGGAAAGCCTTATTTGAACAGATGAATGATCGAAGTTGGCCCGCCCGCCGTTCCGCTATTACAAAATGGGTCGCCAAAGGCAGTATAGTGGTAACGGACGAGTGGAAGGCGTATAATCGTCTTCCCTTGGAAGGTTATCTACATTTCTCTGGTAAGCACTCAAAGAACTTCAAGGACCCTACCACCGGACGGCACACCAATGCCATTGAGGCATACTGGAGTAGACTGAAAAGGAAACTCAACGAGGGAGGCCCTGTATGTGGTCAAGATGTGTGGGCTCACATAGACGAAGCACAGTATCGTCTTTAATTTGGCCTCAATGCCATGTCTTTGACAGATGCCTGGGAACTGTCCCTGCCCCATGATGTGCAGACTTATCCTATTTAAACGTGATTTTGTTTTGTAATACACTGTCATAATGCGAATGTATGCCGTATATTCAGGTTTACGTGTGTAACGATGGGGAAGGTTGGGTAACACCGACCATCCTCCATGTAACCTCCTGTGATGTTCATTCGGCCATGCTAGGCCGTTGGGGAAAGTCCAGGTAATGCGTGAAAGTAGGCCTGCAACCGCTGATACAGCCTGAAGGCGTTTGAGTCCACTGTTAAAGGTATTATTTCTAGGTAACGGATTTTTTGGGTGTCATCTCCCGATTGCTACCCATTCGGCTACTGAAGCGTCAACAATTTGAACGATATTTCAATAGTAACACATAGTGGTCCATTCACAATGGCAACAATGCTAATGAAATTAGACCCAATACAAAGTGAATGATGAACTCCTTTATCTGCAGCAGAAAATATAAGTGTCTGTCGGGAAACCACATAAGAGTGCCAAAGTTCCATTTGTTCCTTTGCAAACACATGAAACGTGTGTATATTCACCAGCATCCTATTTTGAAGTAGGTACCTTACTTGAGACGTTTTTCATTTGACTAAGAGCATATATGTTTCAGGCCCCTTATTTGGACGTTCATTCTTCTCTAGGGCTATGCTCGGATAAGTTTCCAACGCTTAATTAAACTGGCGTCTGCAGAGGAACTCTCAAAAATTCCTTATTTGAACAAATTCTCTCATAAATTGCCTCATTTTGGAATTATCATGGATACGAACCGCATAAACTACCGTTTTAAGTTTTACATTGGTAACAGTGAGGACCGTAAACGTTCAAGGGCATTTCAAGGACACCCCGAAAATCATCAGACCCTGCCGTCACCATAAATTACTAAATAATGTTGCTGAAAATGGTAAGCTTAGAGTTAAATCGTGTAATTTTAGCCTAGTTTTTTGTCACTGACCGTCCCCCCAACATGTAACGTCTATGTCAACTTTATTCCTGTAACCTTCCAGTCACCGAAACCAAACGAAATCTTCCTTGCCTTAGTCAGCCGCATTAGTACAAAAAGCAAATTATGATATAAAATCTCCTGGCACTACGGGTCGTTTTCTGCGGGTTTACCCGCATGGCCACTGCTGCCAGATATCCCGAGACGCGAAACAGTTCATTTGAAACTACCTTCAAAACAGTGTGTTTATGTATTGGTGGTAGGCCCAGGCCAATTTTCTCTGATTTGGCAAAGCGTGATGCCTGAGCAACAGAACACTGAGTGAACCCTAAAGGCCACATAAAAACACCAGTATACAAACACCTACTATATTAGGGTTATATCGATTTGCAAATGATCCACCAGGTTTACATATGTATAAGCGATGAGGAAATGCATTCACAATGAGAAGAGGTTGGAAGTGGATCTACAGTGTTTTGGTGGAGACAAAAGCGCAATGTTTAGCAGACCTATGATAGTGGTTGCGGTAGTAGTGATGGGATGTAATGTCCAGCAGGAAGCGGGTCGGTTCTGTTGTCATCGCATTCGGTCGCAAATTCTCCATCATTTGGGATGGCAAATTTTGTATGTTGTGGGCTTCGATTGAATTTTCCGGCAATGATGGGGTGTAGGATCCTCAACTAACTTTAGCTAGCCTGTGTACCGTGTCATACGTTGAATGGTGGTAGAAGGGGTTTTACGGGCGGGGCAACACACAGGAAGGAGAGCAAAAAGGCACAGAAAAAAGATAAACTTCTACCGAAATTCCCATTAAATGCTGTCATTTGGCAAAAAAAGTGCGTACAATAATTTAAAAAATAGACAAGAATCAATTTTCAAAAAAGGACGAACTTTGAATAAAGCGTCGCTGATAAATTTACTCTTAGTCAGAAGTGAAGGAACTTTCAAACAATGGGGGCCGTGAATAAAAAGTGATGCTTACAGTCACGCTAAATTATAGACTTTATTTTTGAAGTTGTCATCTGCTTGTGGGTCCTACACCCTATCATCACCGAGTTTTCCGTTCACAGCTCGCGATTTCTCTCTCAGGGACATGTTTTATAAGCCTGTTTTTTCGTACATTGCTCAGATCCGTGCGCTCTTAAATAAGCCCTTAGACTCATTCCGGATTTCTGTTGGATTCCATGAAATGTGAAAATTTTTTAACCGTTACGTGCGTGCTGGCTTGCTGCTTTCGTTCTCAGGACCGTTTTTTTCAAATACACGCCAATTGCAGGCCGTCACAATCACAATGAGCAAGACCTCTCGCTCTGCCAAATAAAAATGACAATTTTTGGAGTCTTCTCTGGTGACGGCATGTGATCCACTCAAGTGGAACCAGAAACGCTTTGCAGGGGAAAAAACAAACTTAACTTGGAATTATCCTAGCCGACTTTGCGTCTGCCCTACCGATCACTACTTGGAAAGTCTACTTGCCTTGAAGTTTACAATTAGTGTGGGCTCAATCCCAGACAGTTTATGTGCATGCAATATTTTGTCTAGGTGAATCTCAAAAGACCTGCTGACACCAAGAGTTCTGATAACCAAAACGTCATATCCAAAGCTCTCCTTGAGATAATGCTTAAGTGTATTATTAAGCCTAAATTTATCTTTCTGAAGTTGAGTAGTCTTTTTTAGTTTTTCCATAACAGCCACTCAATGCATATTCGTTTTTTCTCTTTTAAAAAGGGCTTTTTTCACTGCTCGCTAACCGTTTTTCCTGAGTATGAACTGAATACTGTACACATTGTGTCTATTCTATTTAAAATTTACTTATAAATTTATTTTTAGTTGTTTTGTTAGTACCCTAAGTGGTACCAAAAATACAATTTATTCATCTACTTATTCATTTTTGGCCACTCTGACAGGGAAGAAGAATTTGCGCCCATCCAACCTTGCCTACCGTGTGCACACTTCTATTGGGTGAACCCGGAGGTCGGTCGTAGTAGCAAAGTCCAGATAGTCATCAAAGCCATATTGCTATCCAATCTTATCACAATGCGGAATGCCTGCAAGAGATCCCTGCGTATGTGCCCGATGGGCGAACTCGGGCATCGTCAGGGCAGAATTCATACGCCGGATTAGACTATTCGCATCGAAAGGGCGAGATGAGAGGAACCCAGACGCGATCGGTCACAGTCCGCTTCGAGCCCAGCCGAGGATTGAGGAAGGGATGTATGACCAAACTACTAGTAGACCATATGGTATATGGATCACGTGGTTATATCGCTACGGGAGAGAAAACCACATCAATCCAATGATTTAATATAGTTTCTTATTAAGTCGTTATCTACGCAATCGTAGTTTAGGTAAGTCCGAACCGTGCTAGTCTTTTTTGAAAAGGCAAGCGATAAGCAACAGTGAATTAATAGGTGGTCACTATCCAAGAGGTCCTTTTTTAGAGGCACAAAAAGAGAGGCAATGTCATCGGTAAAGTTTATACCTAAAATGTGATTATCTCTTGTTGGAGGGCGCGTCAATTTGGGTCAGTTAAAAAATTGAAATGATCACGGAAGGGTCGAATGTAGGTGGACAGATATTGGAAACCCAGTATATTTCAGGAATTTTAAAATCCCCAGTGATTGTTTTAACATCGAAAGCAGCTTCCGAAATTAATCTAAAGATTTCACATAGTTGTGAATCATCAGTGGCTGAAGAGTTTGGGGGACTGTAGATACAACGAATAATAGCCTTTCTTTACGGCTAGAGGAGAAAGGACACAAAGAAGAGGTTTCTAGTGAATGAGGCGACATCTAGGTAATAGGGAGAGTGCTTTAAGTAGGATTTAAGATAAAGAAGACAACCGCCCCCAAGCCTAATCGTGCGGTCTTGACGGTAAAAATCGAAATCATCTATAAAAGGGGCAGAGTCAGAAACTAGAGAATGGGTACAAGATTCTGTTACATATACAACATCAGCCAGTCAGTCAGTGTATTTGGGGGAAGTGGGCTTACGCCTTTGAACTCCCTACTTGTACATAAAAAATCGATAAAATAAGCAAAAATGTGAAGAAATCACAGCACTAAGTGAATACAGACATTGATTCACATAGGTCACTGGTCTTATGGCTAAAAAGTCACATAGTCCGCTTGTTGCTGCAGCAGCCGACATTTAAATGTCTCCACAGATTGACACATGACAATCGTCTCGGGCAGGTTTTTCCACGGTTCCACGACACGGTTGGGGAAGAAATACTTTCTTACATTCAATCTACCCTGGGGCACACGTAGCTTTAAGGTATGTCTACGGAGGTTAGTTGCAGTGGTGAGCTGGAAAAAGTCGTCGCACCGAAGTGCACAGTCCAAGTCACGTACAATACGGAAAGTTCGTATCAAGTCTCGGCGCAACTGCCTATAACGCAGAGGACAGATATTTAAGTTAGTAGGCGGATCTCCTATGGCAGTGCAACTTGACCTCTTATTAATTTTGTTGCTCGCCTCTGCACCCTTCCGAGCAGATTGGAATCCTGCTGCGTCCACGGTCTCCAGGCCTGAATTGCATATACGGCGTCATTTCAAGAGCAATGACTCCCGATTCGGGCCACCTTGTTCTTAACAGACCTGGCAACCAGTAATATAATATCTAGTGTGTTTGGAAAAACAAGGATACTGTTCACGATATTTAGAAACAAATTTCGAGGTGGATATGTAAGCTGTGAATTAAGGATGTTTAAAGAATAAATACCAGTAGGTTTTGAGTTATACACGCAGGGAAAGTCAGCAAGAGAAGGCTGGGTAGGAGACCTAAAGGATGTGGGAATATAGTTTCGAGCATTGGAATGCTATGGGATTTAAAACAGGGATCGGCCAGGTGTTAGTTAAATTGTGGAGGAGGGGAAGGAGGAGGGAGCCTAGAAGGAAGGTAGAGGCTGGTGGGGGAGGGTAGGCAGCTATAAGAACAAAAGGGTGGAGGCCAGGTTTAGGTTGAAAGTCAAAGGAGTTAGGTGTACTTACCGGAGAGCAGTTGGTCTTAAGTGGCCGGAAGCCTGAACTAGGTTGGGGGATAAATGACTAACGGCAATTCACGTATGAATTATTTACTGGATATATAGTAGGGCATTGGCAAGTAACCGGTACGCAGGACAGAGAAATATTTGGGGGTATAATTGGAGCTGTGTAATTTGTAGACGAGCTGGACTTTAAAGACTTGGCAAATCTAAGAGAAGGCGGCGTACCCCTAAGTGGGATTGTACTACCTTTCTTTTGGATCGGAGCCTGAGTCAGTTTTGGAGTCCCACCACTCTGACAACAAGCCACAGGTGATTTGACGTTAGAGCTTGCAGCACCATGTTGAATTGGGGAATTTGTCTGTTTAGCTCATGTAGGCGGATTTTCATGCGTCCTTGGGGGGGGGGCTAGCTGGAGAATAAGAAACGACACCTGGGGCTGCCGCCAACATATGGGCAGGCCAATGCGTCAAGTAGCCTGAATGAGAGAGAGATGTAGGAGTAAGGCGAAGGAGGGAGTCAGATGTTGCAGGAGTGGGACCAGACGAATCCTCACGGCCACTAGTATTATGAAGGAGTTGGTGAACATTAGGCTGAGAAGCAGTGGGTTTACGTGAGAAGAGGGACCCGATTCATTTGAACTCTTTCTATGCTATTTCGATCTTGAGCTGTCCAATGCCTCCATGTTATAACAACGCATTTCAAACGCGGCTTTAGGAAGGCTCCTAAAATTGTGAAAAAAAACCTTTATCAAAACCCAAAAAGCTCTCTTGGCTACGTGTAACAGGGATACTGCGCTTTTGTAATTCTGAAACGGCGGACGTATGACTTTACGGAATCTGTAGTCAGCAAACCGAGGATCATTTGGGTTTCAATGTCATGTAGGGTTGCGCCAACGAAAAGACAGTCTCTGTTGTCGGTGGATCTAGCTAATTTGCTCAAACGAGGAATGCTACGCTTACGAATTGAGCGATACGCATTGAGTTACGTTAACGTTGATTCGGAGCGTAACATATTCCACCGCTAGCGCTGTTTGGTGTGACCATCCTTTTGACTGTGTTGGTGGTCCGCTTGAAGTTCGCACAGCCAGAGACGAGACAGCTCACGTCTTTCGATGGGTTTTCTGTCGTTACATTAAGTGCAAACACGTTCAGGAAGAGAAGTTCGTAGACAGTAAGTTTTGCTTTTCGCGAGGATGTTAATACTCATCGGATATAAAGAAGCTGGCCGCTGGTTGTACAGACGATCTTGGTCCTAGGGAGTTTCATATGGTAGACGTTAATCAGCATGGTGCATAACAATAAGCTGCAGAGGATGGAGATGGGTAAACGGTCTCCCTTCACTCCGTTGATTATTCCAAATATTTCTGAGACGATCATATTGTCTGTGACGCGAGTCATCATTCCGTTATGCAGTTGGCACATCGTGTGCGTAAACTGACTAGAATAGAATAGGTTTATTAAACCACCTCTTGGGTTTTAGGTCTAGGACAGAGACCTAGAACGAACTCATCCATTTTGCTTGTAATTTGACTGTGTATTTCTTGGGTGTCTGCCTAATCAATAATGGGAGATTTGGAAGGTTGCATAAGAAAATAGGATTTCAAGGCATAGTAATTAAATAAGATATAAAGAGAAACGAGATACACAATATTCAGATTTAATCTTATTGCTTGGTTGTTTTAGGATAAAGAATATTTCTTTCGTCGCGGAGATTAAGTAACTTCTATCTTGGCCAGAGGCTGCCCGATTGCGAATTTATCACTTTAGGTATCTGCTGTTTGCCGGCTGCCCGTTTTTGGATACCTTCTTGGTTCTGATCGCCTCGTTTATTTGTGTCTCAGGGATGGCTAATCATCGTTATTTGAATGAGCAGCTGAAAAGATGAATATGGGCTGGAAGAATGAAACTCTCATAGGTAGCAATCGAAGGTGTAAAAATGATATTATATCAGATATCATATTGTTTCTGATAATATGATATTGCAGGTGAATTGACGGTTGCTGGGGTATAATCTCATTGCTTCTTGCGTTACCCGGATGTCTTGTCATGATTACCTGGACGAGCAACACGAAGTATCCAAATTTTAGCGTAAATCTGCAGGGTTCAATCGAGATTCCCTGCGTCCGAGGCAGTTGTTAGGACTACGTATTTAGCTTGGAGGATTGATTGCATTTTTGGCACTTTTCGTTTAACTGGCGGACGACGCAGATCAAACCAACGGTTCTGCGCCTTTTCCGGAGTCCTCATTGGCTTTTCGGAATATGTTTTTTTCTCATGTGAGTGCTCAGACAATTGAGGAGGACGCTAGCGAAGATTTTGCCTGCAACGTTGAAGACAGAAACAGTTTAGAGATTAATACAGAGTAGACGGTTGTCCTTGAGTTTCCAGATGTCTACGATGATGTCGACCGTAAAGTTCCAAGGCATGTTTCCCGGCCGCCAAATCTCTCACAACAACGATGTCAATGTGCCCATCAGCCGAGGGCCGCCCTATTTGCAGCCGTCATCGGGATTACGTCTGCTCCCGACGTGTCTACGCTGGAGGGCCGTTCTACTAATTTGATTGTTTTTGGGAGGAAGCACTGACGGTACACGACAGTAATGGTTTCCGCTTGAAAAGGCCAGTTGATAACGGTCTCGGCGATTGTAGATAGGCAGATGAAAACGGTTTTGGAGTGCTCATACCTGCGCTTCAGTATTTGCGGCAAACATTGCTCCGTTAAGGTTGAACGGCGGCAGAGTTCTTTTGATGCAGAGTCCGTTGCCCAGCTTGATTTGACGAATAAGTTCTCCACATCGTTAAGGTTAGCGCACCCCTGTATTTTCTTGGCCTTGCGATCCACCTTTATATCAAGTTTTCCCTTGACCATCGGTCTAAAGCTGGAACTCCGGAAAGAGAACTCTTTTTGTTTACATTGGTTCGGAATGCTTGACGTCTTCAAAGTGGATAGTGGTTAAACAGACTTAATCGAAGGCTTGTTGATGAATAAGCAAGCTATCTGGGTTGAAGAGTAATGGACAGTGAAAGATGCCGCGACAGCGTCTTTAGGTTTTGTTAGACACAGATCTGACGAATCACTCACTCAAAAACAGAATCACAAGTCAAAAGAACACAATATTGTGATAACAAATCAACCCGAAAACCTGGAAAGTTCTCACAGGAAACCGGTTGGCCTGAGGAAGAGCAGTGCATACTGAAGCAGCAGTCCATGAAGTCAGTTAAATCAGTGTTGCGAAAGCCAAGACAAAAACTCGCAATTCACAGGCGCCCCTGGCCCGCAACGGACACATGTAACACCTTCCAGCGTGCGCGCTGTCAAAGAACATTCCATGCTCCGACGTAGATTTGCGGACGCAAAGTCCTAACAGTTCGACAGCGCCAACTGCTCTCCCAGACCGCCGCCACTACAGCCACGACGGTGCCTACCACCGACGTTCACCGGCGCCGTGATCCACCGTCGTCGATCGCTGCTATCCGCATCATCCCTTCCACTGCCTCCGTGGAGACGACGACCAGCACAGTTCCCATTCCAGCTGCCCAGCAACACGCGCCATACGACCCGTCAACCACCAGTCTCACAATCACTATCCTCCTCTACAAAGGTGTTGACTGAGCTCCAGCCTGTCACCACTGCAATCGCGCATTCGCCTCGCGCATGGGCCGCCCGATCAGTTATGAATCCATCGTACTGCGATCGACGCACTAGAGCCAGGTGCCAGCGCACATTCCCACTTTATCCGTCTTCACTTACCACACTGTACACACACATTCACTCATCGCATGGGTGTATTGGGTAACATGAATATCCACAACTACGGAATTCATCGCAATATCGACACATCTAATACACCTTACACATCTACCAACCCTCCCATCCCCAGCTAAGTCAACTGCTCGTCTGCCAACGCGTCCGCCACCGGCAGCACCGCCCCGACAACCAGGTTAACATCACCTAACTTATCCTGCCCTCACTGTCACCACGTATTCACATCACGCATCGGCCTGCTCGGTAACTTGTGAATCCATTGCACAAAGACTAGTGAGCCAGTGCCTGAAGCAACTGCATGCACCAGACACCATCGCCTCAATTGCCTTCGTTGCCTTCAGTGCCATCGCAAATTAAAGTAACACACGGGACTATTCGGTGGCATGAACATTTATGAAAACTTGCGGCAAGTCTCCGCAGACATAACCAAATCACTACACATTCCCCCACCAACTCCTTCATCACATACGAACATCTTCAACATCCCACACCACCGCCACATATCGTTTACATGTGAAGTGCGGTCCTCGGTTCCCTTCTCCATGTGACTTCTCCGCTACATGTGGGGTTCGAAAGTTCTACACCCCCGTGTGGGAATTCCCGGTTTGTGAATGGATAGACATGCCGTGTGCGTGGCACACACAGACGGGCTGTCCCCTACTCTGTCAGTCTCCTCTCCCAATTTAAACACTACTCGGCTGACTAGCCCGGACACCGGACCGCCGCACAGATAGGGTAGATTAAATAAGTTTGGCTCTCGACGCAAAATTCCTCATTTCAAACAACCTGATAGGTTTGAGACAATTACAATGCGTAAAATGTCTTGGCGTGGGAGGTTTCAGGCTGGGGGTTAAACTCAAAATACGTAGCCAGTTGTGTGTTGAATGGTTGACTAGTGCACTCAGAGTCAGGCTCCATCAACTCCTCTTTAATATGATCTCTATGGTACATCTGCGATAGCTGCGCTGCACCGACACACGTGTTAGATCGGAGTTCGGCATGCGTTATCGGGAATGCGCTCCCATGCCGAATGTCACCATAACGGGCCTTTGATCTGGCCCAGTTGCAGGCCCATACTGAGTCAATTGGGATCCGAGAGACACCTCCCCTGTTTTTCTTATCGTGTTAAATCCTTTTCAGCGTGCGCTGTCACGAGCGTGTTGTGTGGTACGCCTAGACGCGGGCATTCGCCGTGCCATACACCTGCGTCCCCTCTCGCCTCTGGTATTCTTGACTTTCTTGACATTAAATCAGTGTTGGGACGGAGGGGAGGGTCCGGCACATTTTACGAAAGTCACAAATCACTTTAGGCAGACTCACGCGCAAGTCACACTTTCTGCTCTCACCGTGCTTTGGGGCACACGGTGGACATCGTAGGTCACGACGAACTTACTGACGTGTGGTCGTTTAATTGTGCCACACAGTAGATTCCCTTAGCGAACAGAGGTGCTAGACTGATGTCTGGCGTGCTTTGTAGAGATTGCGCAACCATAAAATATAGAATAGAATAGATTGATTACACCAACTCTTTGGCACTATCAATCGCCTTTAGACTCAGGAAAGAGACCTAAACCAAACTCATCCATTTCGACTGCACTTTAAATTCATTTGTTTTGGGTGTCTGTTTAGCCAATAAAACACGAATTGAGAGTTTGTTGTAAGTTAAAAAACTGAGTTCTAAGGCAAAATAATCGAAAAAGTTTTAAAAAAGAACTATATGTACGATATAAAAATTGGAATATGCAGTTTCGTAGTTTTGGGGGCATTTATAATATGCCCTTTATGGAAATTGAAGAATTTTGACATCTGTCTGACCTTGAAATTATTTTCGAATTAACTAAATTTAAGTGTTCGCTAGTTGCCGGTGTAGCGGCCGTGGACGTCAAGGGTAGTACACACCCAAGTAGCGGAGCACTGGAAACAGATTCTGGCTAACGTTGATCTGAATAGGGTCGTTAGTAAGTCACTATACTCATCCGCACATAAAGAAAGAAGGAACGTCAAGTGGCCGAGAAGGTATAATAGACAGAGATGGAAATTAGAAAGACGTCTAATAATAGTTAATATTACAAGCAGAACGAGTTACAACTGTGGGGTAACCTGTCTGGGTGGAGAGGAAATACCGACATGCCAGAAAATTAACCGGTGGGGAACCCAGCGTTGTGGGCAACTGCAGGGATGGGCCGAGGAAGGTGCCGACGTAGACAGAGGGAGGACGATACGAGCGTCAAGCTATAGTGCGGCAAAAGGAGTCGGCGGAGGCAAGAGGAAGGGATACCGGCCATCTTCACCAGCACGCGGTTACGCCATCTCCATCCTATGTCCGCGCGCCAAAAGTGGTTCCTCATTCAAACGACCCTATCGAAGTCGCGGGACGTTACACCGGTTGTCAGTCTATTTGGCCAGCTGTTAAGGGGCGGTCATACAATTCGTTCGTGTTTTTCAGGAGGCTTTCCATAGTTGTCTGAACTAGGAGCTGGAAAATATGAATAAATAAAGGGAGTAAGAAACATTCACGGATAAGTCATGGCTAGCAAGGGACCAAGCATGCCTCGAACGAGTACAACGGCGTGCAACAAAGCTGGCAAACGGTCTAAAAAGCCAATCATACACAGACAGACTGAATTGCCTCAATTTATTCCCTCTGTGTTACAGGCAGCAAATAGGTGATCTTATCCTCGTCTACAAGATAATACATGGCCTTGAGCATGGACTTAAATTTGAGGACATGTTTCAGTGGCACCTTTCACCGAATCTTTGTGGTCACTCGATGCAGTTACGGACAACAATGTCCAGTCTGAATCTTCGTTCGGAATTTTTCACGCAGAGGGTAGTGGAGAAATGGAACGATCTCCCTCAGTCAGTCGTGGAGGCTACGTCTCTGCAACTCTTCAAGAAACGCTTGGATGATTATTTGTGTCTCCTGTTTTCCCTCGTCAGTCTGAATCTGACCTAAGGCCCCACGCCCCACAAATACTTTCTCTGAGACAATGCTACTCAAGTGGATCAAGTACTGTTTTAATAGCGAATATTTTTTGTTCGTGTACAGTTATTTCTAACGAGCTGACATGTAATCAATAGAGTTTTCAAAGGCTTTGCCTATTATCCTTACCAAATAAACTGAAAAAATAAACTGAAAATAGACAAAAAAATAAAAGTCACAATCAAAGCTATTAAAATAACATTGGATCATGTATCGTATTGTTCTTGTTAATGTGACATTGTATGAGTGGTGGTCGGCTATTTTCCATGATCTAATATAGTTGTATATATGTTTAATATGGCCTTATATAGACTTACGCACAACTTATACGCAGGGTTTTATCGAAAGAGATGTAATTATTAGCTCCTTAAGGGATATTTAGTGTCAAGTGGCATAGCTGATGGAAACGAGAAAGTGAGGAATGAAAGAATATCACTATCTGTTCTATGTTTACAAGTGATGCTGTCTTTCACAAATTTGATTGTTTTAATGCTATGTTCCGGTATTATTCAAGAGGCTGGCATCATCAGAGCCCTTTCGACCAAATTCTGTTTCAAGGAATTGACCTAAGAAATGTCCTACCTTGTTCAAACATAAATATTTGAAGCATTTTTTCCCCGGTATGAATTGAAAACAAGCTTGTACAGAGACGGGTTGCAGTTGAAAAGCCGTCACGAAATTTGTTGGCCCCAATAAATTCTGCTGTACATGCTTGTTTTCAAAACATAAATATGTATTGTTATTTGAGAGGAATTTCTTAATTTTTATTCTAAAGTCGATAAGGTTTCGACTTTTTCGGATAGACCTTGGAAGAGCATTCCATATATTGGCACACATTATGGAGTAGACATTTAACCGTTGGGACTTTGTGAATTTGGGGATCCTTATAATATCTTCCTTATTTCTGGTGTTTCTGGGGGCGTTTTGTTTTGTTAGTAAATTCATTTTGAAAATATCTTGGTCATGGGTGACCTGGAATAGGAAGTTTACACCATTTTAGAGTCTTCTAATCCATGCGGCTCGAGGACCGTATTTATGATATAGTCCTGAGGATGAACCCTGGATGCCATCACTTCTGGACAAAGATCTAGTAAAACGTCTCCGTATGTCCTCTAGTTTCTTTCGGCCGTCTGATGGAATTTTGCCGAAGAAAATTGAGCAATACTCTAGGAGAGGTAAAACGTACGTTTTGAGAAGTTAATTCTTAGTGCATTAAAGGTAAAAATTTTACATATGAAGCCACACAGGCGAGCGACTTTCGTTGATATTTGTTGGACTTAAGGAGATTAGTCAATGATATTTGTATAGCTGAGACCTAAGTACTCTATTGATTGAGCTTCTGTTATTTCGTTATCCTCGAATACCATGGGGGATGTTTTTGTAGGCCGAAGATGAGGAGATGGCATTTTGCAGGTTACAATGGCATTTGCCATTGACTACTCCATTCGCAAAGTTCTCTAAGATCGGTTTTGATTGTTCTGTGTCTGTTGGCTACTGCATGTCCGTTACATGCATATGCGAGCTTTAGGTCGTCGTCATATAAAAACGCTTTAGACGACACTGATATGTACGATAAGTCGTTAATATATGTGAGAAGTAGAAGGGGGCCTATGATAGTGCCCTGCAGTACTCCACTGGTGATATGGGACGGTTCTGGGACCACGCTTGGAAGTTGCACCACTTAATATCGGTTTTGATGGTAGAATTTGAGAAAGTCGAGAAGGGGAGGTCCAATTTCATGACTTTTTTAGCTTTATCAGTAAAAGAACTCCAGAAAAATAAGATGACAGGACTGACATGATATTTTTAGTAAAAAAATGCATGCTGAGAGGGGGGGTTGAGGTTAGCGCTTATGAGATGGTCT